ATTTTTCATTCCGTGAATTTTTAGATCTGAAATATTATTATTTAAATGATTTTTAGAAAGAAAAATTTATCAATTTATTATTAGCCATGTTTATGGATTGTACATTAAAGGCTAAAGTTGACAATACCTAAAATATATTACTATCCTGTAGAGTGACAAACAGAAAGAAACTGAAGGTAATGATATTCCGCCGAGTATTTATGACCACAAAACTAACTTCAAACAAAAAAGATTCCCAATAGTCTTAAGTTTTTTGACTGAATTGTTACGTTGTAAACCTGCTAATTTAAAATAAATTAGCAACTGAAGGCGGCCTGCTTGAATATCTGGGCTACCTGTTCCTCCGATCTAGATATTTCATCAAGTTATCTGTTTTGTTGTTTGTTTTAGCACATCATTATGTCTATTGTGCACACAATCTATTCAGGCGCGTTTATGAAAAGTTTACAACCTTTCGCTATACGGGATACAAAAAGGTACAATCAGCGACATCATCGTGGCTGGCAATATGCATTGAAACGAATGAACATTAATCAAATGTGGATTACCGAACTCTTAACATCTAACTGGTCATCATTCTAAATTTATCTTCACAATAGATCAAGGTATAAGAAAAGGAAACTTGTTGAAATACTTTATGCTGAGAATTCTATGTTGTACCAAAATATAATGTTGAATAAAGCTTCTAATAATAATAATAGTAAAATATGACTTGGCTAGTTCTGTGAGTACATTTTAACTTTTTCGAGAAATCTTTTATTATCTGAATAATATGCTGACAAAGTAAACGACTTAATAAATTGAATTCCAGTTTTACCGTGAGCAATATTCATCTTTCACGGTTAACTAACAATAATCAATCAAAATGAAGATTCTATCTTCTTCCTACTGATCGCCTTATATCAACTTACACCATGTTATTTTGATTTCAGCCCATCTTCACATTAAGTTATTCATATACTTGAAAAATAATATCGTTGTTTGATGTATGCTACTTATATCTGTCGATATAAGTAGTATGTAACACCAGTTGGAAGCGGAAACCCTGACAGTGGAATGCTAAGAAGATTAGTTTGAAGGGAACAGAGACGGAATTAGAAAAAAACATACAGAATGTAAAGAACAAATAATAGAAATTCGCAAATGAATTATTAAATGTATAGTTATCATATTTTATCTAGACATTCTGTTATTGTATTCTAACATAAATTGGTCGTCCCCACCTGTGTTCTAGTACACAGCAGTTGCTTTCACAATAATAACAATATTTTAACAATTCATTACTATCTAGAATTAAAACAACATTTAAGGTTAAAAATAATTCGTTATTATACCACCTACTAAGTCTTTTCTAGAAAGATAGAAATAAGTGGGAAATAGATTTCAGGTGAAGATTTTAAAAAAAATAGTAAGAAATTGATGTAAAAAACGAGATGATGTTCCTTTCACCGAAAGTTGTTTTTGTTTCCCTTTTGTAATTCAACAATATTCAGTGTTCAATGAATATTATTTATGGAAAAATGTTCAAAAAGAAAACAATTTAGCATTACGAAAATAATAAAAAATATCGGTTTTTTGACAGTTGTGCGTGTTGTTTCCTCACAAAGAATTGAAAGATAATAATAATAATGATTGTTATTATTATTATTAAACTGTGGAATAAATTTTAAAAAAATCGCTTTTGTTCAGTATATGAATCAGATATTTTTTTATTTAACTTAGTCGTTGATCTTGAATAATCTTTTCTACAACTAGCGAATTGAAATAGGAATTGTGTTCGTGATTAATGAAATTTTAGATTGTAATTAAGAATTAAGCTACTTATAAACATCTTTTTATTATATCAAAAAGAATTCTCCTTTATATATATATATATATATATATATATATATATATATATATATATATATATATATATATATATATATATAGAAAACTGGGCTTCGGAAATGATGAAGCTATAAAAGAAATAGCTTTATTGTGCACCCACCACTTGTATGTTTACGAGTCAACAAAATATATTCCTTTTTATTTTAAGAATATCAATTGACTCTTCAGCTCACTCTATTAATCTTATCTATGAAAGTTTTACAAAAAAATAATAAAAATGTGACAAAGTATGTTTGACATTAAACAAAAGTTTTACAATTGTGATTTTATTTATTTTATATACCATAATATTCCGAATAACTCCGCCTGGAGTCCCTCCGGAGGCTACTGTCGGTTCCGAGCCCGGGTAAAGGAGGAGGGTCGGGCATGGGGTTAGCGACCCCATCCCGTAGAAAACTAACTCGCTAAGAAAACGCTAACCAGAAAAAAATTATTCAAACCTTTTAAACTCTGCCCCGGGAGTCAGAAGGTCTTCATTTAGAAGAGTTATGACGCCTCATGATGAAAGCCGAGTTCCTTCGGAAGTCACGAGGCCGATGCTCCTTCTGAAAACCAGAGCAACCATTTCTTTAGGTATGTAATATTCTGAATATAATCCAAGCCCTTTTAAAAATTCTTTATTTTAAGAAAGTTATTAAAGAAATGATATTTCACTTTGTAATTGGTAAAATCAAATTGTTAACATATAAAAACCACATTGGACAATATATTGTTTTAAATAAGCTTTTATTTATTTGATAATTTGCAGGAAATACTTTATCAAAATTATCTATAATTCAGTCAGTCACTGAAATGATCATTATTATTATTATTATTATTATTATTATTATTATTATCCAAGAAATAGACAAAAAGCATATGAATACTAATTAATAATCTTGTTAATTATGCAGAGGCAGTGAACTTGATTGGTTTCATTATAGAAGTAAAATGAATAGAAACGGAAGAATTGTAATGTATTTTCGAATAAAAAGACACATTTTATACAGTAAGTTTCATTAACTTAGACTAATATCAGCTGAGGTACCACTGAGAAACTGGTTGAAATGTGGAGATGTTTTGTGTTGCTATGAGACATTTCATTAGTAAACATTCACAACTTTAGGGATCGAATCATGAAGCTTTAGACTTAAAAGTAAGCGCTTAACTACTGGACCAGTGGATTGGTTTCTTGTTACTTCACTCAATTCTTAAACAATGTGTTGTTTATCTAATCCCTTTGCTAATTATCATTTTATTCCTGAAATATGTAAACTCCCGCTGTCGCGATTTCTCACTAAAACATTAGGAATTCATCTCAAGGTAAGTAATTATTGAGTACACGATAACAGAACTGATAAACGGGTTTTATAAAGATTAGTTTGATTTCTGGATGACCTCAGTTAGAGTAACACTAAAGACCAGTGGTATTCTAAATGAGATCAGCCTTCAACGAATACCATCAGCAAAGTAAATTAATTTCAAATAAGTCTTCATTGGTTATCCTAATTGTAAAGAATTTAACAGAGGTTGAGTCCACGAATAAGTTGAAATAAACTAGATTTATATATTGTCTTTTCTGAAAGACATACTTTATTTTGAGAAACTAAGCACATTTTCACCAGTATACAGTCAAGTGACTTTGATTGTCATTTCCAAGTCGAGAGTTTGATTTTCTATGGTCGTTATTGTAAGTTTATTTCAATACATTCACTAAATTAACAACGTCTAAGAAATTTGAAAATTTCGTTTAAACAATCCACTAGTATACTTTTCGGATTTTATTATTGTATAAATTTTCAATAGCCTCTGATTAGGAACAGTACCATGTTATATATATAATTTAGTTATTGAGTACTCATAATGCTCATGACCAATTGTAATGTCATGAAGAAGAATAAAATACCCTTCTGAATAATGCAGTGCTCCCTTGATATTGAATACAATTTTTGTATTGTGAATAACAAGGATATAGCAGATGATCTGTTTATATCAGTTTCAAGTTTTGTTACTTATCAGCTCATCAGTACTGATGGAAGAACTAATGTTAACAAATAAGGTTAGAAACTGAAGCGATCTTATAAACTCAAAGGTGCAGACAAACATTTGTTATCAACATTCAATTAAATCCGTAATATATAAACACCTTCTCACTGCCACTGCTTAAGTGCTTTCATCATAACCACTGTGTTAATTTTTAAGTAAGTTGGTTACTGAAAAAGAAACATTTCGCAAACACACGTAGTTTGAATAATTACATCACAGATGTGGTTTAAATACAACGAAATAATTCGTGAAGACAGATTTTTGGCTATCATTTTCATGCAACAGAAATAAGTTGTTATCTTAGCAAAGAAGATATATTCAAAATAATTAATTGACAACTAAAGTGGTGGTTGTTTCATAGTATCCATATAAAAGAAGTATCATAGTTTTAAAAGTGTAACGTTTTGTACACAGGTGAATTATAATAGTAAACGTCGGAAATAATAATAAATAGATAGTTATGAACATTATTAGCAAAGAAAAGATTGAAATTTGAAATGAAGATTATTTAATGATCAAGTAAATGACTAAAAAGAAATGCACCATTAGCCCTGACGATGATGATTCTTGAAGTGTACACGCGTACACGACGTTGAGGTAGACGAAGCAGATTCCTTGCGCTACCATCTTTTTAATTATTGAAGTTTAATGATATAAATTGTCTCCACTTTGTGAATACAAATCTTTTTATCTAACCTAAATATATACTTTAAATATACCTATCCATAAGTAAGAATTTATAGCGGGTTTTTGTAGAGACTTAAATTGATTGCTTTATTCTATCTCATAGACTTTACGTAATTTGTGGAGGTGATGAAGGAGACTACTGTTCGAATTTCACAAATAGTTATCGGTCTTGTGTAAAAATACTCAATATAGTTATATTCAACAACCACCAAGATATCTGCGTAAATTATGAAATGACTCCAGAGAAGTATAATATTGTCATAAACAAAAATGTGAGTTCCGGTTGCAGTGAACACTTAGACTAAAAATCAGCATCTCTGTTCACTTCAACTTTACAAAAAAGAGCGAGTTAAAACATCTACAGAATAAATAGAATTTAAGATGAAGCTTTGACTTACCTCAAACTGCCCAACTCTATTTGGTAACCACGTGATACTCGGTATACCAAGTGCAGATGTGATTTGAAAGAACAATCTGTGCAATCTGTCATGCATTGGCCTGTCAACGAGCGCACCAATATCATTCACAATGAAGAAACTATTAGCAACATAATTACTAGATTGGTTTTGTTCAAATTCTTTACATATTTGATTTTGCATAACTAGAGGATTATAAGCTGTAATGACTTGCTCTGCATAATGTGGATCTAGTAATAAATGAGGATATGGTTTCATGAGATTACGTAAATGTATTGCACCATTCGACTTGTAGTCAGGACGTTGAAATTTCACATCGAATATAATTCCTTGAATTTTAACATGAACAAAATTTAAATCATCTGAAGCAAAAGTTGAAGACAACGAGGTTGGTGGTAACATTGACGATGATGTGGAAGACAAGTAGTCTGAAGAAGATAATGAGCGTTTTAAACGATTACTTGAATAATGAACATAAGATGTACTGTTATTGGAAGCAAGTTTTATTAAAAGTTTTAGAACACCTTCAATGATTCTTTTGTTCATGGCAGGTGACTGAAAATCAAACTCGTCATTATTATTATTCATGGTGTACAGTAATGTAGAATTAAAAGTCCTTGAATTCATTGTTCTATTAATCTGATTTGAAAACATCGTTTTATCACTGATAGATTCATTAACACTAACCAGATTCTCATCATTCTCATACTGACGTGACTGGAATGTGTTTGAAGTGATCAAGTCTGAATGATAAATCTTTAATTCAGATTGAAAAGTAAATACACCGGCATTAAACATAAAATTAAATAAACAGAAGAATGTAGAAAATGTTTGTTGTTTCATTTTTAAAACATGATTTTAATTAATAGTTCAGTGAGAAATTGTATCCACAATGTCTGTTTTGAGTTTAGAAAAGAAAACAGGGAAAATACTTGGTATCAAAGAATAACACAAATGTTTTAAACATAAAATAGAATACTCATGCTATTTAACTCAAACTACAGAAGCCTTTTAAAAATATAACAGTGTAACTAATAAATTATTAATCTAACATCACATCAATAAATGAATTCAGTTGTTAGTGCGGATTAAGTTGTACTAAAGTTTTGAATATACCCTTAGAACTAAATGACTAGAATAATAAGTCTATTTTCCTTAGATGTTTTATAAGTTACATAGGTTTGTATCTTGAGAACGGTGGTTTTTCAGATTTGCAAATGCAACTTATTGATGAATAACAACTAATTCATGATATGAATTTGTGCTAGTACATCTTGAACCAACTAACACCGGATATAGTTAAAGAATGTTTGAATTATTTTATCAGTTTAGTTTAGACTGACCATGAATGTAACTTCAGAGAATCATCAATCTCAACCATTTCATTAAGGCCTAATCAGTTGAAACCTATTAATTCTCGATTACATAATGAAAATTTGTTTACACTTATTTTGTAATAGCCTTTCCGCACAATGTAAATTAGAATACTCACTTAGTTTTCGAAAAAAATGTGTTGAATTAAATCCAATTCAATATTTCTTCACTAGTTGAAATCATGAGTCAATTGAAGCCAGACCACCATGGAAAACCTGGAAGCACTGGACGGCCATTTCGTACTAATGTGGGACTCCTCAGCAGTGCGCACCCACGATCCTGCCTCTGTTGGGTTCGGACCTAGGACCTATCAGTCTCGTGCGCTAGCGCTTAACCATTAGACCACTGACTCATGATTCCAACTAGTGAACTTTCTAAAATCTCCACAAAACCATTTCTGTCAATATTTCTTGTTAAAAATCATTTTTTAAGAAACTTATCACACGAGTTCAAATGTGATATAGATTGTAACGATCTATAAGTTCATTAAAATAACGTTTTGGGTCACTAAATTAAGTATTATGACTGATAAGTCGATGCTGATGCAACGTACTAAAAATTAACTACTTATGATCGACTCAGCAGTTTAATTACTGCGGAGCTAGTTCCATAGACTCTTATTCTTGTGTGTTTTCAAACATGTTCTGGTTTTGTTAAGAAAAAGGATCATAAAATCTATGAAGAGAGCTATTTTCTTCATATAGCGAAAATCTTTTATTACTAATGTGAAAATATCAGACGCGTATTCAACTCTGGCCAATATAGTTATAGTTATCTTATAGTTACATATTTATCACACCTTTTATCCAAACGATTTTTTTTCTGTACTCATTAAAAATATTTTTCTACCTTATTTCGTGTTTCATTATCAATATATTTTTTGTGATATCTCAATGATTAGAAAAGTGTATTTCTGACGTATTTGCTGTAGTTACTCTGAAGAAGTTGCTTACATTAGGTTACGAAACGTCGGAAATACAATTTCTGGTCATTGAGATATCACAAAGAGTATATCAATTATTGATTTGAAATTATAAGATCAAACCTTGGCAGTGATACCTATAAACTTACTACGTGTTTGTTCTTGCTCTATCCTTTACTACGACATATCCTTAATTTCACCATTATGTTTCTTAGTTTTTATATTTTTTATACTAAAATAACCACAGCGAAATATTTTCACATTTTGTGTTATCTTGACATGATTTCAACCTACTGGATAAGAGTTTTGTCTTTCAGAAATAACTTGATCATATGCATCATATACTTCTAAATTTTCTAATGGTACAATTCGTTAATGAGAAGGACAATCTACATGAAGTCCATTATCTTTAATATATAATGACAAAAAACTCAATCATGACTTTGATGTATATGCCGTAATACATTCCTTACTACAACACAATATGTATGAACTTGTAATTGTACGGTTTAAAGACGTTATTAAGCACAATGTTTTGTTCAAATATTTTTCCATTTAGATATATTTTAGATAAGCGTTTACATTAGACTGGTTGCAAAATCATACGAATGAAACTTGTTAATCGTTGTTTGAGAATTTATCAAGAAGCATGACTTCAAAAGCGTACAAATATATGTACTTTACATATCTCTATACCAACATACTTTACTAATAGTGAGACAGAAAAGTAGAAATCTCAGTCATCTTATATATTTATATACTACTAATGATCAACAAACGGGCAAGTTAAACGTAAGCTAAAAATTAATTAAATGCTTTATGCTATTCTGATTACGTTCTAACAATTTTATTACTGTTCAAAGTTTAGAGTTTAATTTTAAAACTTCCGGGTCTAATCTAGTAATTATATTTAACGCCTAGAAAAGGTTTATTGGCATTCAAACATTACTTAAAACACAATTATTCAGATCCCTTTAATGCTATACAACTTTAATGTTAATCATTACAAAGAAAAACTTTCTAAAACTATTTAAAACTGTTTTATGAATAGTTATAAATTGATGAAGAAAAGTACTAGAAATGCTTCTGAAATGGGTACTTCTGCCTACTGCTTTTTCTAACGAGGACTGTACGTTTTAATATATGTTTTTGGATAAACCGCATTTTTGTTTGTTGCCCATTTTAATGAACATTTGCTCATGTTAAAGTAGCTTAGTGTTCTTATTGAAATGTCATAGTATTACTGATTGTTCATTTAAGGTCTTATTCATCAATTGAATCATAATATTAAATGTTATCTAAATATGAGAAAATGAAAATATGCCAATCATTTATAGTTACCCTAGAATTAGTCCTGTATAAAGTTGCGGGATCAAACTAATAACATTCAAAATGTTCTAGCTTTTGTTTAACTTGAAATGTATTAGACATATGGAAATAATGCTAAATGTGATGCAAAGACTAATTGATATTTTCTGACAGTGCTTTGATGCAAAATCAATTTTTGTTCTGGAAATTTAAGAATTATGCAAATAAACGAAAGATGAAGTTTTACACTTAAATTCATAACTACAGACAAGTTTGTATACAAATTGAATGTGACTACTTGCAAAGATAGGAGAAACAATCATTAAAAACAAGAGGAAGCGTAAAAACGCTGTAAATATAGACATCGATCTAAATGTATTGTGCTCACTGTAGACTATAAAGGTTCTGGGTCATAGATAGACTTTGTTGAGGTGTTCAATCTTCTAGTTCTCAATGGTTGCCCAGCCAAATTCAAATATTGTGAGGTAACAGCTGTGTGATTTGTTTAAATACTGTAAACGCATTTTTGAAACAGTAGGTTAGTAAAAAAAACAAGAATAATAAAACAAACCATGTATAGAGTAGTAAATATGCAACTATTCTCAAGTGCTTTTAGTAAACACTTTCACACTGATGAGTATTTCACGTAATTAGTAACAAACTTTACCAAACACTAATCGCATAGCATTTAGAACCAAAAGCAATTTTTTGGAGAGTTATTAAGATTTAATTCCAATGAATACTGATGGATTAGATGGTGGTTGGAGGTAGTCAACAGGAAACCCTGGACCCGGGTTTCGTGCTACTTGGCACTCGTCAGCGAGGTGTACCTGCAATCTTGAGGGAACTGGTGCTCCCTGACGGATTCGATCCCGTGTCACCCAGCTTCACAGTCAGAGACGTTACCACTAGGCTCTCCGGGCTGTGACTGACCTCCTGTAGGACTGCGATGAAATTACAATTGATTGGTCACTGGGTGGTGGTCAATGTCATGCTTGTCTAGTCCTTATTAGTGCAGATCGAAAGCTATCGACCAAGTTGCGACGTGGACACTAGTCTAGGTGACTCGACATTGCCACATTGCCACATGGCCGATAGCATTCGATCTGCACTAAGAAGGAGTTGACGCACATGACATTGATCACCACCTAGTGATCAATCAAGTGTGAATACTGATGCATTTTAAATAATGCTTTTCCTGTTATTTCGAATATTATTGACTTCGAATAGACACATATTAATGGATTTTGATTTTAATACTATTCATTAATATCATTTATTTTATAATATTGGCAGACTGATTATCCATTGTTCAAGTTTTAAGCCAAGAGGATACATGTAAGCTAATACGAATATTATTGAACCAAGCGATGTAAAGTCGCAGAGTACAATTTATTATGATTCTTACAACAGAAACAATCTGATTTAATTTCATAACAACTGAAAAAAAACACAACTACGTTTAAAGGACAATTTTGTGTGACTTTCTAAAGTTGAAAAAGAGTATATTTTAGTGTAGATAGATAGAAATAACTCAAAAATGGTAGAGTTAAAGTAGCTTGTTTCTAATCACGTCTAGTATAAATCTCATTCGAACAGCGTTAACTGATAATAGATTATCTCAAAATAAAATATAATGTCTGCGCAATTATCAAAGTAACATTTTAGGTATAAATGTCAAGAAAGGAAAATTACGAATGTTTCACCTAATCAAATTAACAATTAGTACACCAGTCTGTTTTATACCAACAAAGTTTGTTCATAGATTTGAAATTAAGTCATATACAAATAAATATGAATTTAGAGGATGAATTGATTGCATTAAATCTGTTAAATGGTCATACACAGTTTGGTGGTCTAGCTTAGATTGACTTGTCAATTCAATTGTTAAAATACTACAATCACCACAAAGTCCCATACTGACAATAATCAGCTAAATGGTGTACACCAAAAAATAAAGACAATAAATTAGTTTGAATTATGATAGTTTAACAATCATAGAGAAGATTAACGTATATGTAATGTCGGAAGTTTATTTACTTTGATTAGACTTTCTCCAATTTAGTGTAACTAATTAAAGACAAACATTAAAAGAATTAGATTATAAACAGATTAAGAACAGATGAGTGTTCATAGTTCTCGTTTCACTCAC